GTGTCAGAACCTTGTTCGGAAGAATCCAAACGCACGACAGCTACGACATACTCAAGAAGAAAGATATCTCCTCGCAACGGCTACACACCGAAACTTCATCAAAAGAACTCTAACCCAAAGGAAGAAAGAAACAACGGACGGAGAATCGGGAACAAGAACAATCCTGCCGTACATCAAGGACATTTCGGAACTGACGGCAAGACTGCTCAGATCATATGGAATCCAAGTCGCCCACAAACTGACCGTCTGTCTAAGGGGACTTCTGTCAAAACCAAAGGAGAAGGACAAGAGCAGTGTTATCTACTAAATAAACTGGATGAACTGCTCAAAACACTATATCAGACAAACTGCCAACAAGGATCCGGAACATCAATCGGCAGGCAAATGACATGACCCACTATCTTTGATTTTCCTCCACAAAGACCAAGGAGGACATCAGTTTGACATTGATTCAGTGAAAATCATCCACCTAGCCCGGTCAAAACACGCTAGAGAATTTCTCGAGGCTTGGCACTCCTCAAGCAACTCAATAAACAGGGATATCGAGCTGGATCACAAGTGCACGCCAACCCAACTCAATGATAAAATGACGCAACAAAACAGGTCACACCGTGACCAGAGAACGGACCAAAACCGCAATCAGGACGGAGACACAACCACCTTCCCTACCAACCTCACTCACACGCACCAATTTAACAGCGAACCAAGTCGAACATAATGAGAACAAGGGACAAAAATGGTCGGTGGAGAAGAACACATATATTAACGAGCGGATACAAGTAAGAGACTGACGCTTCACAAGCACTGGTGATGTCACCTCGGCTGGTGATGAATCGTTTGCAAACAAATTATCAAGCACGATGAACAGGCGAAATATAACTTAATAGTTTAGTTGATTTATGGCTTTGTCAGGCAGATCTGTTTTATTTTCTTAATGAGGAACTATTCGGCATGAATAAAGCCACAACAATTCCCTCTGGCTGGTTTCAGTTCATCCCCGAAAACGGATGATGTTCACGTGTCAGTTGCCTTACGCTCATAACGGTGAAAATGAATCACGGAAGCAATGCTTGACATTAGTGCTCACTATTATGACTTTATTATTCAACTGTTAAAATAAAAACTTGGTGGTTCGCTTTTGATTTATTGAATGACAGCTTTCAACATTTTGGGGAATGATTCTCACACACATTCCTAAGGAAGCTCTTGTTGGAGTATACCAGTAGCACACATTCACCGAGATATCCCTGGAATTGTACTCCGGACCCCACGCATGTATTTATGTGCACCGTAGTTGAGCCGACCACTTTATTTAACTCAAAATCGTTTGCAATCATAGTTTATCGGTTCGGTTTAACTCCAAAAATTAACGAGCATGCGCTAAAAGAACATCATATATTGCAACGAGCTTTAAGCCGCTCATTCTGAGCACAAAAGCATGGTTTTCAGTGGATAGTGAATGTAACTGACCCACAGGAAAAATAAATGTTGTAATCATTAGTAGACAAGGCGTGAGTGTTCCACACATTTTCAAAGGTTGTAACCACTATCATTATATATAGCCACCTTTTCAATAAAACCGAATATTTACTTTCTAGGTGTGGCGTTCAAGAAAATCATCAATCCGGAAAAGGCCACTCTTTTGAAGAGAATTCAATTCATGGAACTTGTTGATTCACGTGAGTTTCCTAACACCAACCAGAGAATTGTTCACTTACGATGAACTGATTTGTCAATTCACAATGTGCTGTCGAAATGCCACACCACACCGCTTTATTGGTTGATCTTCTTTATTCCACCTTATCCAGCCGTCACTGAAGAAACGTATATTAATTACCCCACCTCTATCTAATTGAGGGTATTTATTGTCTAAGGAAGGAAATGTGCTGACTTTCTAACGTGTAATATTGATGTGAAATAAACCGCGGAAGTCATGCCTGGATACGCATGAGCACCAAGACCATGACCAGTGACGTTTGACGAGATACAAACTAGAATATGCCCTCGCTTTTGTTTGCGCCCATGAAAATCAACAGCACAGAATCACAGGCACAATTTGAATCCTTTTTCGAACTGAAAATGATGGAAGCAACTTCAGAAGATGCAGAATCGTGGACAAAAGCGAAACTGGCCGACGTGGAGCATCAACACCGAATAACACCATTAAGACAAAAGCCACTTCTTACTCCAGAGCATTTATTTAGAGAAATTAATGGAGAAATCGGATTTGATCATTTTAAACCCTGATAAAGGATCTGGGGCTGTCCTAATGGACTGTGCAAATTACCAACGAAAGATGGAATGTATCCAAAGTGAACCCAGCAAGTTCTTATGAGAAAAAGCATGTGATGATCCTAAAGAGGTGGAATGGAAAATCGCCACTGAGGTTTAGTTTCTATTAGGAGGACATTTCATCAATTCGAACACCACGCGGGACCTGAAGACGAGAGGAACTGATATTCCCCAGCTTTATGGCCTGCCGAAACTTCACAAGCCAGGTGTGCCACTCAGACCAATTCTATCCATGGTGAACTCACCACAGCCCAAAATGGCGAAATGGCTGGTTAAGGTGTTAGAACCAGTTCATAGATCAATGGTCAAGCATACACTCAAGGACAATTTTGAACTGGTGGATATTTTGTACAAGATCAACATAGAAGGGAAACACTTGGCTTCCTTCGATGTCCAATCCCTGTTCACTAATTTAGCAGTTCTCGAGGTCATACCAATCGTCTGTGATCATGTAGAAAAGGAACAAATTCGACTGGGTCTACAGGTATCCATCCTTGAGCGTCTATTACTGCTGTGCACAACCGACGTGTCTTCCTCTTTTTAAGGAAATGCGTACGGGGAAATGGATGGTATCGCTATGAGCAGCCTGCTACGCCCAGTCCTGGCAGACTTGTTCATGACACATCTGGAACAAAAAGGAACTAATATGATGGGGCGTGCTATCCTGTACAAAAGATACGTCGACGACACCCTGGTTATAACCGAAAGCTGAGAAGAAGCCACGACAATTATGAATGAACTCAACAGACTCCATCCAAATATACAGTTCACAATGGAATCTGAATCCAACTAGACCCTCCATTTCCTTGATATTACCATGGCCAGAAGAAAAGAAGAAACGTGGCCTTGTTCGGACCTTATGTGACAGAACAAGGCGAATCTGCATGGAAAACAGAATTGAACAAGAACTGCCAAAACGTCGGGAGTTTTTATCAATAAACGCTCATCCCGAAGCGTTTACTAATAAGCGTAGCAAGCCGAGAATTGAGAAAGAACCGGTTGCGTCAGTTCCGAAGTTGCGAGTCACATTGTACCTTCCCTTCAAAGGCGATGACCTAAGCCGCCTGCTCACCAAATGACAGATCAGCAATCGCTCGAACTTACTATGCAGCTGACCCCCAAATTATCTACTGGACAACCGGGATACTCACACCCCCGGCAAAAGAACGTCTACTTCTGTACGCGAACTCTAATCCAATCTACCAAATACAATGTGGTTGCGGAGCGACCTACGTGGGCAGAACAGAGCGACAATTACGCAATCGGGTGGTGGAACATATTACAAAATGGGTCCAAAATCAGATGATCCAATCAAGGTCAAGTCAACGGCACAGAAACGACGGTCGAAACTACAAGACCCCATCCTCAGCCATTGCTTGACATATGCTGATGACGCAACACCAGATTGACCGAAACACAGCGTTTTGGATCATCTACAAATCACGAGTTGCAGGATTGCTAAAGTTTGCTGAAGCGATTGCTATCAATCGTTGGAAGCCTACCACCTATGTCAACAAAAAGAACTTAATGGTAGCTCCTCCCTACCCTGGTGACATAATCCTTTTACCCCTCCCCCATTTTATGTTTTTTGTTTCCATGCCAAAGTCCTACATGAACATTGTATTTTCTGCAGTATGCACCATGTTGAGATGCAGCGAAATCGTCCTGGACATAAATCGTGCAGTATTGCAATATGGTCTTTTCTTTTGAAACTAGTAATTTGTAGCAGAGAATGGAGTGTTATAAGAATAAAATGGTACTTTTTCAAATACAACGCCTATGGTTTTGAAATATGCATAAATTGATCTAACAACAAGGACAGGATAGTACCGTAGATTAAGAGCTTAAATCGTAAAATGCATTCAGTGTAGTTCTTCCAATTGTAGTGTCTAATAGTAGTATGTCTNGGTTAATCAATTTTGTTCGGCATTTGATTCGGGTGTTCAAAGAAGTACGGGTCATCCAATGGCTGCATGACAGCCTTTACTGACCCAGCTGATAAAATCAAAGGCACTTTGGATGGTGAATAAAGTAGCAAATCTTATGAGAGGACAAAATGATCGAATTTGGGTAGTCTTTCCTCATGTATAAATTGATTTTAAATATCTAAATTCAACTGAAAACCAGAGGGCCCACTTTTACAAAGCAAGCTTGTAGGGGTACAACTCTCAAGGGGTTTGTATTTCAGTGACAAACGGTGACATACTGCACGTCACTTTTATTTGACGGCTTGATAATTAGAGTTTCGCTCTATTGTGTCCAAATCATTTTCGTTATTGTTCACAAATCATTTCAATACTCCGTCTCTCGTTTGTCCAAGTTATTCTTTCTGACACTCACATTACCGATACTAACAAGCACACGCACTTTCTTTCGTTTTCAATATTTCATTCTTTTATGTGCATCGGATTTCATGCCCAACACGAAAATCCCGTTTCGTTAACATTGATGTTATTGCTTCCCCCCGCCCCGACCCCCCCTTCTCCCGCGATCCTCACGATTATGCCATTCGAATTTGACTACGGAAAAACAACACTGTTTCTGGTCGAATCGGTTGGACGGGTGTGCACACAACTATTGTGTCGTAATCCCCGTCGCTTCGATCGCCGCTTCCGCCACCGCCACCCACTGGCCAACAACACAATCATCATGATCACCGCTGCTGTCGCCTCCAACACAAACGTACACTGTGATCCCTGGATCGTCTGTTTACCGCCTCCTCGGCACAACGGGTGCGTGTGTGCGTGCTTTTTTCTTTTCGCTCGTGGCGGGCAACTCACTGTGCAATGTTCTGATATGGGGACGGGCGGTATTGTTCCTCATGGCTTTGCTGACAGGTGGAACGAAACTTGGTGACACCGCCTGGTTGGGCCTGACAAGTGACAATTCACGTCTATTCGGATTACCGCTGAAGCATCATATTCGCAAACAGCCCTATATGTTCAGGTAAGGTTGTTACACAGCGCGCGCCAGTGTATGCCCACGCCTGCGTGCGTGCGTGCGGCGTAATGGACGCATTCTCGAACTGTGCTTGTATGATCTGTGGATGCCTGCAACTTCGGTTCAGTTGTCTGAATGGGCTTTAAAGCCCCGTAGAGTGTTTCACACGGACCGAATGGGATCGCGTTACGTGGCTGTTCAGTTTCGTTTCCCTTGGTTCGCACCACAGTAATGAACCCATCAGGTAAAGTGCCTGGAACCCAACGGTGATTGATTTAAACAACCGGATGATAAAACAGGGAACATGTTTACAAAACTTATGGGCCACGTGTGTACACCACAACATATTGTATGCACGGTAAAAAGACAAAAGCCAATAGAAATGATTGACAATATAATATATATAATATAATAATATATATAATAATATAATATTGCTCGAGCTTGGTACACATTAGTCTGTTGGAACATGTGTATCCTCCCTGCTTTCTTAATGAGTTTACCTTAAGGCTTGTCATTCATTTACCATCCAAACAATCTTGTAAGCATTATTATCGGTGTGTTCACATTAGCAAGTTCTGCTCTAACACCACAAGTTGCCTTGTTTATTGAATTTACCTGGAGTCGGCAACATCAAATTGTGGATCAGATGAAAAAAAATATAACTCTTCGGCACATAGTAATCAATTGGTTCAAGATAGAATAGAGCGGTGAATAAAACTTATCTCTGTGAGCATACAGCTTTCCTGTTTAACCCGTTACTGAAATAGTTCGGCCCGGCAATCTCGGAATCCATGGATTCGACATTAACACGTTCTTGTTCGGTTTACTCAGTGTACCTCGAAATTCGCAAAGAATTTTTGACATGGACTTTTCTTTGGAATGGTTTAATTTGAGTTACGTTTGCGGATCGAATTTGCAATGCACCCAAACGAAAACAAACACAGTCGTTCCGATAACGCGATAAATTATCACAATCATAATTCACAGCAAGCAGAAGTGCACGTCTCAAATGCACGGAGTAAATCAATGTTCATGGAATCCACGAAGAAGATGTATGCCAGTGGAACGAACTACTGCATGGTTTGAATTCAATCAGGTGGTTATCGACACACACGGTGCACATCCATCATCCATCCAACCTCCAAACTCCAATGATCCATTAAATGATCGTGCAACCAGGGATGCGGGCACACACATACACACACGCACTTGCACGCGTTAGAGAAACACCAACAAACATATCACCCGTCAAGAAGTTTGATATTTAAACATTTGCGTTGCTACTTCCTGTCCACTGGTGTACGTTCACTTTGTAGTATGTACCAAACAGGGAGAAGACTCGGAGAGCTGGAACGAAGTTATATTAATACCAACGTAGGGATTGGTGGTCAGTACGGACAATGAATCTGCGGCCAACTAGGTAGTGCCTGTAA